TATGCTGAAATAAAAAAAAAAGTGGCAAAGAACTTGAATAGACATTTCTCAAAAGAAGACATACAAATGGCCAAGTATATGAAAAAACGCTCAACATCACTAATATTCAGAGAAATGCAAATCAAAATCACAATGAGGTATCTATCATCTTACCCTAGTCAGAATGGCTATTACCAAAAAGACAAAAAATAACACATGTTGGCAAGAATGTGGAGAAAAGGAAATCTTACACATTGTTGGTGAGAATGTAAACTATTATAGTATAACTACTACGGAAAGCAGTATGGAGATTTCTCAAAAAACTTAAGCAATCCCACTTCAGGGTAGCTACCCAAAGGAAAAGAAATCAATATATCAAAGGAATACCTGCACTCGTATGTATATTGCAGCACTATTCCCAATAGCAAAGGTATGGAATCAGCCTAAATATCCATCAACGGATAAATGGATAAAGAAAATGTGGTATGTATACACAATGGAATACGGTTCAGCCACAAAAATGTATGAAGTGACATCATTTGCAGCAACATGGATGGAACTGGAGGTCATTATCCTAAGTAAAGTACCCCCGGCATAAAAAGTCAAATATCACAAGTTTTCACTTATGTGGGAGCTGCAGATTTGGTCACATGAAGGTAGACAGTCGAAAGATAGATAACAGAGACTGGGAAGGGTGAGTGGGAAAGAAGGGAAGGGATGAAGAGAGGTGAGCTAAAGGGTACAAACTACAGTAAGATAGAAGGAATAAATTCAATGTTTGATAGCAGAGTAAGGGAGTCTATACTTAACAGGATGTATTGTACTTAGGTGATAGACACCCTAAATACCCTGTCTTCATCACTACACGTTATATACATATAACAGAATTTTACACGTATCCCATAAATTTCTACAAGTAAATTTTAAAAACAAACAAACAAAAACCAAATGGATGTCTGAGTGAAAATATAGTTAGGCAGTTGGATGTGCAAGCCTGGAGTTCGGGGGAAAGGCTAGACTTGGAGATTCAAGTATAAGCAACCATCATGTGACCATTAGAGCCATGGGGCTCCACAAGATGATGAGATGAGATGACTCAGGAAGAGATGAAAATGGGAAGAAGCCAAGGTATAAACCTCTGACCCCCAACATTAGCCTCCCAAGGATTTTTCCTGCCTCTTATTTCAACCCCTCCAAATCATCTTAGCCATTTTCTAGATCTATAACCATAGGCAAGTTGTTTCTACACTTTGTGGCTCCTTTTTCTCATCTAGTAAGACAAGGAAAATAATCTCATATGAAGATTAAATGAGCTAATAAGGTACATAAGGAGGTCAGAGCAATGCCTGGCACATGGTAAATGCTAAGTACCTGCTTTTTATTGTTATCATTATTAATATTCATGTTTCTCCCAGCTCTCAAAGTGTGAAATTATAAGGGATGGTCTGTAGATTTGTGCATGAAAACATTCATTGTTGCCTGTGTTGTGTGTATGTGGAATATGTGTGTGTTTTGGAGAAGGATGGGGAGTACTATAGCATTACAATACAAGCTACACATGTAATTTAAAATATTCTAGTAGCCATGTTTAAAAAGTAAAACGTGACAAGTGAAATTAATTTTAGAAATAGACTTTATTTAAGCCAATATATCTGAAATATTATTTAACGCATCGATATAAAACTTACAAGTGAGATATTTTACAGAATTTTTATGCTAAGTCTTCACATTTTAATGTGTATTTTACATGTACAGAAATTTCTATTTTTGGAAAGCCCCATTTTAAGTGTTCTGTAGCCACTCCTGGCTAGAGACCACCATATTGAACAGCACAGCTCGAGATAAATGGGGAGATCAGAAGCCAGACACATGACATGTTTGGAGGAGATGGATAGAAAAGAATAACGAAGAAACAGAGAAAACTTGATTAAAGATAGAGGAGAGGGAAGAGAAATATTCTGCAAGTGAAAGATAACTATGTTTTTCTTTCCCATGATAAAATGTGTATTTTATCATTTCCCTGTCAAACAGAATCCTGATTCATGATCTACAAGAAGAGATTGAGAAACAATTTGATGTTAAAGATATCCCAAGCAGGCACAGCTATGCAAAATACAATAACTGGGAAAAGGTACAGTATAAAATACCGGAACTTCAAAAAAGTTACCCTCAACATTTATTGTCATTTTGTTTCCTTTTATTCCAATTTCTCAAAATTGGTTTTGCTCTTAAGATTGTGGCTTGGACTGAAAAAATGGTGGCTAAGCATCCCGAAATGATCTCTCGTATTAAAATTGGATCTACTATTGAAGATAATCCACTATATGTTCTCAAGGTAAAAATAATTCAAGAACCACTGATTCTTCTTAGTGTTGAAAAACATGAATTTAAAAGTTACTTTGTGACACAACTGAGCTAATTTTGAGATAACAAAAAATACTATCTTATGAAAGAATATTTAGGCTCTAGACATCCATTTAAGAATAGAAGTGACAGGTGGTTTTGGTAGAACCAAGAAAGTGTCTGAATAAACATTTGTCAGAGATTGCACAGTGGACAAACCCAGAAAAATATCTCATCCTACAGCTTTATTACAAGAATTCGTGATATCCCTGGTGTATAAAACCCTCGCTGACCTATTAAAATTCAGTGAGATTGTTGAATGAATGTCATGAAGGGAATTTAAATATCATAGACTCATAGGACCGCAGAACAGTATGTTAGGCATTTCAACCCCATATTGATGGAAGGGTGAGTTGGCGGGGGCAGGAGGGATGAAGAGAGGTGAGCTAAAGGGTACAAACATACAGTAAGATAGAAGGAATAAAGTCAGTGTTTGATAGCAGAGTAGGATGACTATACTTAACAGAAATATATTGTACTCAGGTAATGGACATCATAAATACCCTGTCTTAATCTCTATGCAGTATATACATATAACAAAATTTCACATGTACCCCATAAATTTCCTTCTATAACAGAGCTAACAATTGTCCTTCAGCTGCTGCTGGATATTTGTACTTCCTTAGATACTGCTCCCTGAAATAGCCCCTTAATAACTGGGAAGGCTATCCTTACCCTGAACCCTCATTCATTCATTATCTTCAACCACCTAAAACAAATCTAAACTCTCTTCAAAATGACAGCCCTTCAGATATCCTCTACTATTCCTCCTCCTCACTCCAAGCACAACATAAAATTTCCACTCCAGGCTAACATCCCCAGTTTATGAAACCAGATAAACAAAAGGAAACGGCAGAAAGAGAAGTGACTTTATAATTTATTTCTCAGAACATAAGATGTTAGCAATAAAATAAGAAAAACAATAGATTATGATTTTTTAAAAATCCTAAAATCTGCCTGACACTGAGAAATTTTTGAAAAATATATAATGCATATATATATATATAGCATAGATTCATAGATTATGAATTATGTATAGACCTTTAAGAATACGTGCCATGGTCCTCCCTGAGAACAACATGTGCATGCACAGTTCTCATTCAACAACAGACAGGGTGAAAGAATTGCTTTGAGAATATGAATGAGTTATTGGTCGACAAGGGATCAATGTGTGAGTTCATGCAAAATAATATCTCAAGTTTATTTTTAAATAGATTGGGAAAGGAGATAAAAGAAGAAAGTTTGTTTTTATGGATTGTGGCATTCATGCACAGGAATGGGTCTCCCCAGCATTCTGCCAGTGGTTTGTCTACCAGGTAAGTGACTCAGAACACTCTCACAATGGTCCTTTGACTGCCAGTTCTCCAGCACTTCCCTGAGTGGAGGCACCCCTTTCCAAACATGCAGTTCCACTTAACTAGAAGAGCCCACACTTGGTGTTGTCAGGGAAGAAATGCTCTGAATTTTACTCAACATTGCAGTTTTTATAAAATTGACACCTTCTCTTCAAATTTCTTGAACTTCAGCTGAGAGTTTATGAAACTAAAAAAAAAAACTTTTGGGGGATATGATATGAAAATTCTTTCTATAGTCAAGTATGGAAAACCTGAAACCACCTTCATATTACAACCTACAAATTTGACCTTTCTTCAATGAGCTTAAAACATAGATCCTTCATTCCTTTTTAGATATTTCAATAGACATGCATTTATTTGGAATTTTCATACTTAAATTTCCTTTCCAAGTGAAAAATAACTCACTTTTTTAAAAAGGTAAATCCAGTTTATATGTTCGTTATTCCTCTCACGCTATTGCTATTGTATTCTGACTCCTACTATCTTTTAACTCTCTCTTTCTGCCAGCTTTTGCACATAACACATTGATGGAATATGTATGACACTGGTTTTCTGGGTACGGATACTTTCCACTAGGAAAGAATCTGCCGGTAGAACTGACTTATCCCTGTAGTTGTTTTAGCTCTCCCAGCTGAACACCAAGAGCTCCCCTTACTCAACCCATAAAAGGAACACACATCATAGGGCTACAAAAAAAAAATCTCTTGACTCCAGTACAGATGTACCTGGAAGGGATTTTCCAAGAGTGGTAGGAAAGATATTGGGTAGCCACGAAAATCCAATTAATTAGAAAAAATTCAGTCGGATATGAGAAAAAAGTTGATTGGTCAGTCTCTAAATTCTTGAGTATTTTACTAATAGAAATTTTCTTCTTTTTAATCCCCTTTATAACTATTTTATGAATCTGCTCCCATACTTGCATATTCTCATGTTTACAGACTCAGTCTATATTTATGCAAAGGCTGTGAGGGAAAGAATCCATTTAAAATAAGTTGTACTTCCCACTTGGCCTCCATTCTTCCTGTGAAACATATCTCACATGCTACATTTGGGATGCTATAAGTCTGAATAATTAAATAATCCTTTAAAGAGTGTTCATTTCAATTAATGTCACTAGTCTGAATAAGTGAGGCTTTTTCCTGTAACCTATATGGGTCATTTATTTTTGTTTATTTTAGGAAAAATCTGTTTGAAATTATGTGACCTTGGGCAAATTACTCAAGTTATTACTATTATAACCACAGTTCTCCACATGGTAGCTAAATTTCACACCAATAGCTTAATTTTTCCTATTCCTACAGGCAACCAAAACTTATGGAAAAGACAAAATTATGACCAAACTCTTGGACCAAATGAATTTTTATGTTCTTCCTGTGTTCAACGTTGATGGATACATTTGGTCATGGACAAAGGTGCTGTTCTGTACTCACATTTGCATTTAAACAATATATTATTTACTGGATTTAATCATGCTGACTGTTATGCATTAAGTTTAAGTTTTGGTTAACTAGTTAATTTCAATTCAGAAAAGCATATTTTTTAAAATCTTAACTTCAGACTAAGTGAAGTACAATTTCCTGGTTGCATAGGTGTCCTTGAAATAATATGAAATTTTTGCTGCCGAAGCTAGGTATGTGGAAAAATGAAAGAAAGCAGTAATTATAAAGGAAATGTATGATTATATTATATAATATGGCATTTTCTAGTTAAGAATGAAAGTCATTTAAAACCATTATGAACACATTGATTTCAAAGCAAAAATCATTGTATTCCATCAATTTGGAACAGTATTTAAGATGAAATCATTGTATCAAAAATAAAAGAGAGACGTAGATATCTATTTGTCTTTTATAGCCCTGCTGTTACTAAATAAAATTCATACTGAACGTTCAGACAGATACTATCACATCGAGTTCTTTCCTGAAATGCTCCAACAGTCACAATTTGACCTGCTTTATATCTGAATCTGTAAATGGTGAAAGATGTAATGAAGTTATCATTTAAATTATAGGTAATTTCAAAACATCATTGATCATTTTCTAATACTGAGAACTAATCAACAGTTTTTAAAACTAACTGAA